AAAGATTTAATTATATATATATATATATATATATATATATATATATATATATATTTTGGCCATGTTTAAGCAATTCGATTTTAGTGCGACTCGAACTAACATTATTATAATCTGAGAAAAATAAATAATCAAATGTCAATGAAGGATGTCGAAATTCCGTTGTCCGTCGACTAAAATTTCTAACAGCTTACATGCAGATAATTTTAATTTTAGTTGTATTTGCAAAAAAACATGCGGCCACCTCAAAGATGCTACTGTTCATGCACAAATATCCGTCACAGAGCAATTAATGACAATAAGTTGGGGAAGGAAGTAATATGCAAAATACCATCATGTTAAAAATTAAATTCTGAAAATGTGGAATGATCTAGCTGTTAGGCGATCAAATTCAAACAACCAAACCCTTTTTTTAAAGTTGTTAAAAGGTGGCAAGTAGCAATATCCTGTCTTCTAGATAAGACCTGAAAATTCAAATAACCGGATACCCGTTCACATTTGCCTCTATTTCTCATCTAAGCAATAAAAATTGGCTTTTTGCTTTCACTAATTAATTACCATACCTATAATGCAAAATAACATGCCATTAATACCAAATGCTTGAGTGAGCCACAAACTAGTGGTTAAAACTAATAAGAATAAGTTGGGTTTTGTACTAAATTGAAGGCCTTCGATTAATTAACATTTTTACATGTTTGAAATAACAAAAAACTTAACAGCAGTCATTTCTTTTGTCCTACTGCTTTTTCATAGCTTTGTTGTTCTGCAAACAATAGTTGTATACTTTGAAACCTCTAAGGATTGATTTTAATTTATCAAAAAACTCCCATGAACTGCACATAAATACTGTTTTTTTAAGTTTTAAAATTAATACAATAGTAAGTACATTCGTTTTATTTACTTTAAAGATGCACTCAAATTTTAAAAATTGCATTATTTTGGCTTGTTTTCTAATTCAATTAGGAAACTTTGACCTTGGCATAGTTACAAACTGAGAGGTACCACCTGCTGTCATGGTGATTCTCACGTCTTGAATTCCACTAAAGGGAAAAGGCCGGACTTAAGATACATGATATAATAGAACATTTACAACCCTTTAATATATTTTTTATTCAAGCATGCACACGACATCGTTGTCAATTTGAAAAAAATAACATTTTTTTCCCATGTTATGCGATAATCATGGGTATTTAAGATGATAAACTATTTTACTTTAAGTAATCATTGCACAAAGCAATTGTGAAATTTTGAGGATCGGTAAAAATTTTGTATCATGTCAATTTTTCATAACAGATATTTGCTAATGTATTTCATTTGGATTTTTAAACCTTATTAAAATTATGTGACCGCAGATTTCATTTGTTTGGTTTCTTTGGACAGCAAAAGCTTTTGTATGCAAGCCTTCATAATGATTATGTGTTTACTTGAATAATTTCTTTATTGGCCTCTGTTAATGTAACTGTTTTCTGATTTCTTAGCAAATTCTGGCATGTTTTGGTCAAGATAATAAACATGTACTTTAGTCTGAGAAAACTACTTAGCTCACATTTGCAATTCAATACACTTTTTCTGCGTAAAATATCAAACTCAGTGTGTTGAATAACATGCATTTTAATTGTGCACTACCAAACTGTTCTTTAATTTATTCTTGCACTGCAACCATCCCGTCTTGTGTCATTTTCTACGGAAAAAGATTCTCTGAGTGTTTTGGTATTTTTACATACAAATTGTTGCGAGCACAAATTAACTTAAAGGATCTAAAACACTGTTTTAATGACCGTTTTCTATTAATGGTTACTGTTAAATTCTGCATTCCTGTAGAGTGCAGGTACATTTTTAATTCAGTTTTTCTTTAAAAAGAAATTTCAGAGTATTATTGGAAGTTTAATTTCCCCTAGTTTGAAAATGATGCAAGCCATCTGGCTCTCACTAGGAAATTTTGTTTCGCGCTTTTATTTTATAAGATTATTGAAATCTAATGCCTGTTTTGATTAAAGCCTTAGTGGGAGATGCGTTTACAAGATATCCTGGTGAAGGTTTGCATTTGTTTGTGTAGTTACGTTTTTTACGTCTCGTTAGGATTAGTTTGATATTATGGATCCTCCTACTGAAGGAACAACAAATCCTGAAGCGGTCACTGACCAGGCAACTAATGTAGAAGATCTCGGAGTACAGGCCAGTCTTGAATCTCCAAAGCCAGCTGATTCCACGACTCCCTCAGAACATGGAGAAAGTCCAAAAGCTTCCCAATCCGAATCCTCGGAGCCTCTGTCCCCAGAGGCTGTCTTACTTAAACAGCAGCTGGCTGAGATGAGTCCACTGTACCTTCCGCGCGAATTTCAGATGCTTCCAGATACCTTTGATGCAGGGCTATTCCCCAGAACTTACAGACGCAATACTGATAGGGAGGTGCGTTTACTAATGTACGCCGACAACTTTCAGAGACAATATGCTCACCTTTTTCGCGATCGTACACGTCTCTTTCTTGCCCCCAAAAATGAATGCAACGTCCGCAAATTTGTCTGCACTACCATTCGACCAACAAAATTGCCCTACCCGGAACTCTACGACTGGTCGGGAATCGCTTCTTTTGTAGCAGACTTCCTCGACTTCTGCCCCCTTGTGCCTTCCACCGAATTGCCTTCTAGACTGCTTAGTCCATCGACAACACTCTCTTTACAAAGAGGAACCTGCTTTGAGTACTCAACCCTTCTTTGTTCTCTCTTAATCGGAGTTGGCTACGACGCCTATGTGGTTTGCGGCTATGCTACACGTGAGTGCTGCTACAAGGACGAGTCACGAAGCCAGTGCCCTCTGCTGTTTGAAATACCTAAGCCAGTGAAGATGTACGAGGAGGTGCAGCCTAAAAAGTACCAAGTCAAACCCGCCAAGGACTTCTTTTCCAAGTACGACCTGAGCGTTCAGGTAAAGAAGCTAATGGACGAGAAGAATGAGGCGCTAGAAAAAGCCGAGGCGGACAGACAGGAGCTTGAGAAGAAGGAAGAACCCCTGCCGGATCCCCTGTACGGTCTCAGGGTGCACTGTTGGGTTCTGGTGCGTCCGGGGCGTCGGAATATTGACGAGGCCTTCTTTATTGAACCCCTCACTGGCCTGGAAGTCGATATTGACACGAAGATGTACCTGGGGGTTGAGAGTGTCTGGAACAACGTTAATTACTGGGCCAACATGCAGGATTGCTCAAATGGCATTCAGGAGATGCGCTATGACCTGACCGACCTTGACGACTGGGAATACGTGCTGGCGTCTGGAACGCTACAGGAGTTGCTCATGCCAGAGGGTGAAAATCTGACGAATATCATGACAAAACCGCTGAAAGTCGGTGAGACGTTGGCGGGCTTTGAGGTTGGTCTTGACTACGGCTTCAAGGGTAAAGACGAAGACGTCGCGAGCAAACAGGGCTATCATGGTGGCCCCGATCGTGAGCACCCAAAGCCGAAAGCCGATCTCATGGACAAACTCCTTCTCATCAATCTCCCCATCTCCTGGACTAAGCCAATCACGTTGTCTCAGGCGCAGTACGACCGGCGATTCGCCAATCAGCGAAAAGAGATTGTCTACAATCGGGCTAGACTAATCAAGTACTCGCCGTATTCTAGAGCAAACGGCCTCGTGACCCACTTGACTGTCTACTCGGATCGCGAGATGCAAGATCCGATCGAGGAGCGAGAGTACTTTGAGAATAGGCTAGACAAACTCTTGATGCGCACGACGAATCTGAAGACGTCGTGGGTTGTGGAGAAGTTTGACCATGGTCGAATGGACTACCAGTTGAAAGAACACGGCTTCCATGCAAACAAGGCAACCCCCGATTCTACCCGGTACATGGAATTTTATGACAAACTGCGAACTGACGGACTGGTTAAACGCGAGAGGAAGGGAAATGTAATGAAGGAGTGGTACAACAATCGCCAGGATCGACTGATCTACAGGGAAACGCAGTTTGGCCGGACGGTCAAAAAATTCGGACCCCCGGTTATTCCCAAGTCCGGATCCCAAGGAAATTTTGACGCGACGAAAGTAACTAAACAGAGCTATGTGAAAATTGACGTGTAGGTAATCTTCAGTCTCTGCGGCTTCCATTTTTTTTTGAGTAAAAATGCCAAACCTGGTTGCATTTTATTTTTCAGAATAACCGAACGTTTTGCTCGGAATCCTAATCTACCTGCTGACGAAGATGTGGAAGAGCGGGTTTTTAATATAATTGGAGGGAAATACCTACTTTCGTACCACATTGCTGACACCAACATCTTTCCCTGCACCCGGGAATTTCTCAAGCCAACTGACACCGGCGACAGACGCCAAAACATTGAGCTATATTCCGACACCCACACTGCATTTCATGTAAGTTTGCTACTTATTTTTCGTCAGTAGCATTTTTTTATAAACTTGGTTGTTGATTGGTCAATGAAGTCTGAGGCATGGTTGGTCTAGCCGACACCGAATCCGCCGAAGAAGACAAACGTCGAGATCTACCAGATGCTTCTTCAATTGATGGATCTTGAAAAAGTAGCCAAAGAGAGGTGTCGAGCCTCAGAAAGCGAGGTTGTGGCCATCCTGAAGAAACGGACGGCAGAAGAAGCTAATCCAGGTCTTGAGGTTGGCCTGTGGGACACTCTACGGAACGAAGACATGCACAATCTCCGTGTTGCCCTGGAGAAATACGCTGAGCAGGAGCGCAACCGACAGAAGGAGAAGGATCTCGATTACCTGGGCCCCTACTTCCACATGCGCAACACCGACGGCGAAAATCTGTCGCGTGAGGAAGCCTTTGCAATCCGCGAGGCGTGCCTCCAAGACCTCAAAGATCGCCTGACCAAACGCGCGCACATCATCCAGTCGCGTTTCGAGATGGAGACGGAGGCGCTTCAAAAGAAGCAACAGTGGTTCCAACTGAATCAGATCAATCTCACCAAGGACGACGAAGACGCCTACCTGCAGTACTGCAACGACGCCATCTTCAAGATCACCACGCTGGAGGCCATGCTGATGAAGCACAAACAGACTGCCCCGCAAAAATACATGCAGCTCGAGAAACAGCTCAGGTCTGATCCGCGGTTGTCGACATTTTTGCGGACAAATTGATGTGGCGAATAAATGCATGAGGTGATTACTTGTATCTGACCTTGGCATTACTCTAACCTAGCCAATCATATCGGGGCGTGAGGGTTTCCTACTAGTCAGTCGGGAAGTAATTGGTTACCTTTTTCACACCATACTATTAATTTCGACCAATTTATTAACCACCATTGTTCTTAACTGTATTTGCAATACGACTAAAATGAGCTGATTCTAGTTCTTAACATCTGGTTTCATTCTTGAATTTTAAAATTCTTTCAGTAGAATTGGGTATTAAGCACTAAAGGCCTAATCGTTCATGGGATTTCAATTTCAGAATTTAACCAATCAGTTGCAAGGCGGCCTCAGTTAAAACAAAAGCAACCAAGCAGATCAAAAAATCGATAAAACTAATGGCGCGTTCATGACTATACAGATCGGTAGCCTTAAAGCGAGGCTTGTGATTGGTTCACATAAATGGCCGAGTTGGAACAAGTTAAATTACTCCAATAATATTTTGGAAAAATGCCCAGGAATATGTGTAAAAATAATGTAGATGCTTCTTGTTAAAATGTGCGTATAATGGTGCAGTGTGGGAGAATTGGGATGTAAAAAAAGCGCTGGGTATAACATTGATTAATCAAATCCCTGCGAGCTTGCATTGATACCCGTTACAATTAGAGTTTGGTCAAATTTTCTAATTGCACGGAACCAGACAGTCTCCATGTACCCATGCACATGAAGGTTACTTAAATGATAAAGTGAGGTATCAGTAGTATGTCTGATTTCCTTCATAATGTCAGTGTTGAAAAATAATAGATGTCACTTCATTCAGATAAGCTGTCGTGTCAAGTTTATATACAAGGTCGTGAACACTTGTAAATAACACATATTTTGCCGCCAGAGAAGATGCTTGTAGTGGATTCGGGAATTTATGAATTTTCGCTTTTTTTAAAATCAAGCCACTCGTCCTTACTGAGTGACCGAAAAATTGGTGGTTTTCACTCGTGTCCCGATGTCACAAGGCCAATTTCGGTTGAAATCAATTGTGCTTTTTCGATATCGAAATTTTCACTGCAAACCAATTATTTCCAGAATCCCGCCAAGATTGATTTTCACCGCAACAAAATTCATAGTAGTTAAACGCAGCAGCTTTTGAATTTAAACTAATCAAGATTTTCGCTTTCCTCTTATTTCTAATCAACTGATATTTTTTTGAAAACGCTATCCTACAAGTTGACAATGCCTTTTTTGTAAAGAGGCGAAATTAATAACTAATATTTATGACAACAAATTAAAACTGGCAAAACGGCAACGAACATGAAGTTATCCGATGCCATAGTAGGCCTTCTCGCATGAATTTTGGCCTAGTCAGCCGCTAACCCAAAGCAAACTTTTAGGCTTCGTGTAGTTTTTCAATTTTGCGTCTAATTTTTTTGACAATTATTTATGGAATGTAATTGGCTGTGCGAAATGTTTCGCCTGACATCCTGATTGGCTAGTTATTCAATAACTCCAGCTGAAATCATTTCTGGCTGTGCAAAGCTCCCAGCATTTTATTGGTTAAAAATGTCTCCATAGCTTCGTCGCTCACGTACTCTTTTGAAGTCATTTAAAGATGTTATGTAGTCAAATCTCCAGGCGTTCAGCAATAAGATGCTTCTAACAGTTGGTTGATACTGAGAAATTTGGCCTCTCATTCTGATTGGCTACTAATTCGAGACGTCGAAATTTACAAAATGCTAATATAGCTAATTCTGTCTATGATGTAAAACGAGCAAGCTCTACTCTGCGAACTTTTACTAAATACTTGTCATGTGCATTTAATAGATGTCTGTTGGTTCTGGGAAATCAGTCGTTAACTTACTTGAGAGACGAACGAACCAAAAAAGACGAAATTTGCCAAACTTATTTTTGTTTTATTTAAACAAGGTCACTTGCAGTAAATATGCCATTCGCACATTAAATGAAAATGGAGAAAACAGTTTAAGTTCTGTTAAAATCTGCATTACAGACCCGCAAGAATGGCTGCTCCGGCAGAAAACGTCACCAATGAAATTGCAGCATTTGGACCTATTGAAACAAGAATGAAAGTTAGATGCTTTTAAGGTGTTAGCTGGTGCAGTCATTAAAGAAAAGTGGTGAAATTTACATTTTAAACTCCTAAGGACAAATTTTACTCGACGAAACGGGTTACTGCTCACCTGATTCGGAGACGGGCATTTGTGATTCGAAGCCTTGGGCCTCAACTGGATCTACTTGTTCCGGAGAAATGATCGTTTCCGCAGGTTCTGGACCGACGTCGACTTGGGCTAGACCTGCTACGAAGCACAAAAGCGTGAAGAAAACGACCTTCATTGTCGTCAATTGAAGCCGACCCCATGCTACATGAAGATAAATTCGGCCGGGTAACCAATCGCATTCAAGGACGCGCTTCAGACGTTTGTACCTGTGTACGTGTGTTCGTGGGACTTTGGACTCTGAAGTATCACTTGACAATAGACAATCTTAGTTGGAAAATGAGCTCTAGGATGCTAGCGACTTGCCACTCAAAAACATGTTTGTGTGTAGGCATCCGTGGCGTTTAAATGTCAACGGTAAACTATTCCGTTCGTAGCTGTGGTAATTTTTTTTTGAAAAAAACAGGTAACGAACTTATAGACCAAACGTGTTAAGGTCTGGAACAATGTGAATTTTCAGAGCATTTTTAGCAAGCATACATTTTGTTAAAAACTTGACCCTCAGAGTTGGAGTGTCTCGGAGTAACAAATAATGTACAGGTCTGCAAAAATCGATCGATGAGATGTGAAAATAGGGAACTTTTACACATAGTTTATTTTGGAAAATGTCTGTTTATTACTAAATGAGATTATTAAATCCATCAGGCAACATTAGATTGAAAGAAATTTAAACTGACTGCATTACCATGGTTAACGTGATGGTATGCTAGGTTTATTGCCTAAGTAATGCTGTAATGTTTGCCCGTAACCAGGAGAAAACCACTCAAACAACGGTACCAGATCCCTAGTTGACACTGGAACCGTGGTTAGGGGATTTGTATATACAACGACGAATATAGCCTCAACAGTTTCATTAACTCAAACGCCGCAAAAAGAAGAACTGTCCTTTCCACTTCCTACAAATAGCTCAAACAGCCGACAGCATTTGCAAAATGGCTTAGTTATGAGAATCCTGTCTATTCTCAAGGTAAGCTGTGCAAACGCAACTTGTGTTCAACTGAAAACCTCGTGAAAATGGACCGTCAAACGATGCCCTTTGTACCTAGTGGTCAAAAAAATGCGATCCACTTAACTACTGGGGCTGTTGAGTTGGGATTGTGAGAGTAAACAGACCATGGTAAATGCACCTTAGTAATAAATTTTGCAGCATTCACCCTAAGTAGACTATTTAGATGTGACGTAGTCAATCCACAGCATTTGTGAAAAGCATTTCAATTAATTTTGCACAACTTGCCAGCGACTGTACTGCCATTTTGGCTTTTTGACCCCCCTGTATTGAAACGTTGATAACCTTGCGGTTCAACCAATGGGTAGAACGCGAAACTGGCTTCTAATTGGTGTGTTCCAAGTGAAGTACAGCTAGGAATCAGCCACAAATTCTCCTCGATGTCTGTAAGGGTAGGTTGGTCCAACATCACCAGGAAGGTCTTCTCTGACTTCTGTTAAACTAGAGGTGAGTTTAAACATCAAAAACCGATCCGTTGTGAACTTAATTTGCACACAGGTGAATCCGGTTGTGGCACAGTAGCATCGACAAGAATGACGAAATTGAGCACGCGTTTACCCTCGCTGACTAACATGGACAAGCTATGCAGAACAGGCCGACACAACAACATAAACTGGAGTGCTTTTAGTTAAAAGCTACTTCTGACGCAATTTGCTATATTACGGTACAAGGTGGACCAATATTCTTCACTGCGAAGTCTAGCAAAAAGAAACTACGCCTTTCAATAATGACCCAAATGCACGAGCAACGAGGCAGGTAAAAGCGTAAAAGCCGTTCTGGTAATCACCAAACACCGGCTCAAAGATAATTAGGATCTGAAAAACGAGCACTACCAAATGATTCGAGGCGATATACTACGAAAAAAAGGCAACAAGGACTTTGTACATGTGGGAGCAGTAAACGAATGTTTGGGATCATGTAGAAGCATAATCTTGTGGCGGCAATGGAGGATAATTAGGTTCCTGGCCCTTCCACGGTGTCGGCCTTCCTTGTTGTGAAGAACATGGCACCTGGCCATACACTTCGCACATACACTGACGTGGGTACCTTGAAAAACCATATCAAGTAGTTGACTCGACCTACTTTGTTCCGAAATTCGCAGGATTTATGATTTTTTGATTCTCAACCTGCTCTTTCTTTAAAGTTTCGTACGTTTTTGAGCAAACTGCAGCGATGTGGTCTTGGATACTATCGGCGGCGTGAAACGAGCAGTCGACGTCCAGTTCTTTACCATTAGATAAATAGAACTTAATAAATGGGGTAGGGCAAACATCTTGGAATGTGACGATCTAAGATTTCGAGGAACAGAACCCATAACCAACCTGAACGCCGGGATTTTTATACTGAAGTGGAGGCAGATGCCACCGGATGAATTCCCGGGTACCATCAGATATTTCACTTTTTGACACTGTGTTTATAGCCATAACCTTTACACATTCTCGAAAAACAATTCGTCCTGAATCAAGGTACTTTTTTGTCCGCGTAACGGCGTACCGACCACCCCTCAAAAGTGGCATTTATTGCAGATACGCTTTTGGGTTAAAATGTGCAGGCTAAGCAGATGAGGTTTTTAATAGCTGAGAGAAAGTGATGCATTAATTGGCTGCAACTGACAGCTGAAAAGTGTGCCGATTATGCAGGCACTTAAAAGTGCAACAATATAAAAAAAGGTCACATGTTTAATTCTTAAAAAAGGTAAGTCAACCAGCTACTAGAAAAGGCTTTACTACTTCATTTTTGACTCCAAATTTTTAACAGATTCTAGCGTTTTTATAATTTAACTAGCATACATAGCCCAGGGCAAAATCTCCAGATGAAATCCACACACAGAAAACTTTTTGTGTACTTTTATTAAATTTTTAAATCAAAATCAACATTATAGAATTATGACGCGGCTTAAATTTGGGTAAATAAATGCATGAATTATGCAAGAATAATATAAATCGTTTTCTTAAAGCTAGTTAAGGAGAGGGCATTAAATTTTTCTAACGTAAAATTACGGCAAACTAAAAAGAGTACTAATTAAAACAAGTGATAAGATTTGGTTAGGTTTTGAAGAAAAAAATTTTTCAGCCATAAGCATTAAGGAAATTAGCGACAACGTTAAAGGGAAAAGTGTTGATTTAATTCAGGTGAACAAAA